CCCCTCCCCGCGGGTGGCGCGGCAGGTGGCTGGACGGGCTGGAGGAGCAGAAGCAGAGGACGGACGTGCACTACCGCTCGCTGCAGGGGGACGGGGCCTTCAACTGGCGTTTCGTCTTCTCCTTCGAGTACCTGGCAGCCGAGCAGCTCTGCGTCCTGCCCCAGAAGGTGAGGGGGGACCCCGGGGTGGGGTTGCGGGGGACACACACACACAGGGGATGAGCATGACACCCCCCTTTCCCCATCCCTGCCCCGGCAGGAGCATTTCTGGAGCCTGGATGAGACGGTGCTGAAGGTGCCCCCCAAGCTCATCCTCCAAGTGTGGGACAACGATAAGTTTTCAGCTGATGATTTTTTGGGTGAGACCCCCCTTTCTCTGCCCCACGTCCCCCAGGAGGGTGGGGGACACTCACAGGGGACAGGGAGCACCCCCCTGTGATGGGGAGCACCCCCAGGTGATGGGGAGCTACTCCCCACTTCGGCTTTTCCCTGCAGGTGTCCTGGAGCTGGAGCTCACCAAGCTGCCACAGCCGGCCCAGAAGCCCCAGGCCTGCACCCCAATGCCACAGGGGCCCCCCCAAAGCCCCTGGCCCTGGCAGGGGACGCGAGTTCCCTCCTGCTTCTCCCTTTTCCGGCAGAGACGGGCGAGGGGGTGGTGGGCCTGCACGGTGCAGGAGGGCGACAAGCGGCGCCTCTCGGTAGGTCGGGGGACACACGCACTCACCCCCCCCCGGGATAGCGGGGGGCAGCGATGATGGGAGGGGGCACACAGATTACGGACCCCCCCACCCCAGGGCAAGCTGGAGCTGAGCCTGGAGGTGCTGACGGCGAAGGAGGCGGAAGAGCGGCCGGTGGGGAAAGGCCGGGAGGATCCCAACATGTACCCGACGCTCCCAGCACCCGTGTGAGTCCCCAGGGGAGAGCAGGGGGTGGGAACTGGCGCACTGGCGCGGGGGGGGGACACAGGAGTGTCCCTGAGCTGGGTGTCACCCCCTCCAGGCGCCCGGAGTGGTCGTTCCTGTGGGTGCAGGCGCCGCTGCGCAGCCTGCGCTACGGCCTCTGCTACCAGTACCGCGGGCGGCTCAGCCTGGCCCTGGCGCTGCTGCTGCTCCTCGGCCTCCTCCTCACCTTCATCTACGCTGCCCCGGTGAGCACGGGGGGGCACGGCCGCCCCCCACCCCTCCTGCCAAGCCCCCCGACACTCCCCAAGCTCCCCTCTCCTCTCTCTTTGCAGGGTTATTTGGCCATGAAGATGGTTAACCCCCTCCAGACCTTCCACCTCAGTGGCAGGGACAAGCCCTGAGGTTGTCACCCATAGGGACGTCACCCATCTGCGTCACCTCTTTATTAAAGTCACATCCAGGAACAGTCAAAGCATCGTCACGTGCTCTGGGGGTTTGGCGGGGGGATGGAACACTGATAAGAGAGCTACTGCATTTTGGGGAGCCCCAGGGTGCTGTGACCTGGCCCCCGACACACTACAGCACTCGAGGGCATCGGTTTTGGGGGGAGAAACATGGCATCCAGGGGACACAGCAGTGACAAGGAGCACGGCCGTGTGACACACGCACACACACCCCAATGTTTATTCCAAGATACAAGTTACAGCTCCAGGGAGAGGCACACATGATTCAGTCCTGGTTATCAGGAAGAAAAAAAACAAAAAGGCAAAACACCAGAAAAAACCTCATGCCACAAGCACCGTTGGGCACCTGGAAAAAAGCTCCCACCTACCCTGGTGACAGCATCCTGCTGAAAAACCACCGGCTGTGCATACCCCCCCCCATCCCCAGCTACCACCGGGACCCCCACAGGGACCCGTCCGGGGTGCCAGTGTCCTGGGAAGCTGGGGGGCAAGGACACAGCCCCCCCCCAGGACAGCGGGGAGGAGGGTGCTGGCAAGGATGGGGCTGGTGGGGAGGCAAACGTGCCATTTGATGTCCCCAGAGCCACTAAGACTCTCCTGGGACAAATTGACCTAAAAAAAAA